GGACCACTAGAATATTGAGGATTGTGGGATGCTGTCTCACAGTACAATACTAAACAATATTATGTAATTGTATACTTTTATTAGTATTGTATCCTAGTTCTTATAGTACTAGTAAAAATAATATCCAATATAAAATTAACAAAGGGCTCTTATAGGGCTATTTTTAACAGTTGCCCCAAATGCCAAATGTAGCCAGCCTATTCCTGGTGTTACTGCTAGCCATTTGCATCCCTTTTTGACCCAATCGACTAGCCTACACATTTTATAATGTCTACTTTCAGCATGATTACTTGCCAAGACAAAGAACACTTTTTATCTTTCTTTCTTTCTTTCTTTCTTTCTTTCTCTCTCTCTCTCCCAGTCTTTTGTCACATTTTATGAGATTCATTGTTCAGTTTTTTATATAAATATTGTTGAATTAGGGTTATTGGTAGGCTTCTCTGGAAATGCTAACCACTGGCATTCATTGCCATGATTAATCATGTTTCAAATTTAAAATACCTATTTCCTCTAGACACTTGTACAATGTAATACATATGTGTATATTATATACATATATACTTAATCTCAAAATTACACAGAGGAGGACAAATACTGCTAGTACAAGTCTTTTATAAAGCAAGCAGACAAATAAAAATCATCCTTCTATATACATTTTAAGCTCTATAAGTAGATATAAAATCTGTGTGTCTACCTTAATACCTGCCTGCCTGCCTCAATACCTGTTCACCTAAATACCTGTCTGCCTCAATACCTGCCTGTCTGCCTAAATATCTGACTGTCTGCCTCAATACCTGCCTTAATGCCTTCCTGCTACAATGAATACCTGCAAAAATAATGCGATGAAGAGGGACAGGCTCCTCCTCCATCAGCAGCCAGTGACTGGAGTGCCGCCGGACCGGCGAAGCTGCCACCCGGCCCGGCGGCTCCAGTCTGGAATGCGGCCGGCCCCCTCTCAGTGTGCCACCGGACCGGCCACCCGGTGGCACATATGTGCCCTCGCAGCCCCCAGGTGCCGCGGCCCACCGGGAAATTTCCCGGTATCCCGGTGGGCCAGTCCGGCCCTGATCACAGCCCGGACATCAGAACATCAGACATCCCACGGCACACCAGGCAACATTGAAAAACACTGACTTAAATATTACTACTTGTATGACTGATTGTAAAGGAGCTGTATAGGAGATGTTAGTGTTCTCAGAGACGCAGATCTCCTTTGACTGTTGGTGATGGCATTAGATGGCACTGTGTGCATCATTTAATGTCATGTGGCACACAATATCTTGGTGATGGAAGATACAGAAGCGTGACAGATCTGTATGTCTCATAGCACAGATTATTGATTCCTATGGTAGCTGGATCTTATTTTCTTTTGTTGCAGGAGGGTTTGGTACTAATTTGTGGATTTCATTTCTTAAAATGTTTTAATTAATTACATTGGGTAGGCCCAGGGGATTATAAAATATTTTATTTATAATGTGCCCTAAGTAGATGTTCTGTGTTACATATTACTTCTTTACTTTCTACTTTAATGTTTTAATCTCTTAAAGAAACACTATAGTGTTAGCAGTACAAATGTGTATTTCTAACGCCATAGTGCCCTAGCCACCGTTTAGTTTATCGGACGCTCACTACAAGGGTTTAAAAGGTGAGGTGACTTACTTTTTCTCACTTGCAGTTCTGATCTCTACTCAACCTCTTTTTCTAAGATTTCTGAGAGAAAAAAATATTATTGGATTGATAAGATTGCCATGAGAAAAAAAAAAGGTTTTTTTTTGCCAATTAGTTTCAACTTCTAAAATGACCACAAAGGGTAGTGGAGAATGACAGGGCTAAGATAGTGTGGGACTTCCAGATCAAGACAGACAAGGAAGTGCTGGCCAACCAACCTTAAATCGTGGTGGTAGACAAGGAACAGAAGACTGCAGTTGTGGTGGATGTGGCAACACTCAATGACTATAACATCAGGAAAAAGGAACATGAGAAGATGGACTAATACCAAGGACTGAAAGGAGAGCTAGAAAGGATGTGGAAATTGAAGGCAGCAGTAGTCCTAGTTCTGATAGGCACTCTCAGAGCTTTGACTTCCAATTTGAGGGAATGGCTTCAACAGATTCCAGGTGGAACATCTGAGATCGCTGTCCAGAAAAGTGCAGTTCTAGGAACAGCTAAGATACTGTGCAGAACCCTCAGACTCCTAGGCCTCTGGTAGAGGACCTGAGAATGAGGAATAAGCATCTAATAATATATAATATCTATATTATCCAAGGAGCATATCTATGCTAATTTTTCATATTTCTCAGCTATTCATTTTTAGCTTCTGTCTATCCAGACTTTGGTAATGCCATAAAATTCTTTTGAATTAACAAAGAGACAGGGAATTTTCTCAGTACCGTCCAATAAGAGCATCCATGCTGTGTTCTTGCAGTGCTGTGAAGAGGTCCATACACATACTTGCTTAATTTTTCTATATACATGGTCAAAAGTATTTTGCCACTTTTTTTGAATTTTTCTCAGACTAAGTGAAAATGGATAAACGTATTTGGTATCCACTATTCTTTACTTCAAATATAGTAAAACAGTAACTTTACTTTTGATTTATGACTTCACATAAACAGTAAAACAGATGAGAATGGCACAAACGAAAATGTTAGTACTCAACCTAATACTTTGTAGCAAAGCCTTTGGGGACAATAACTGCAATCAAGCACTTTTTGTAGCTCTGATTAAGATTTCTAAAAACTGTGATTTTTGAGCTTATCTCCTTGAGAAAACTGCTTCAGTTCTGTCTTATCGGTCAATCCATTTCATACATTAATTGCTTTATTAATTCAAAGAAGGATCAATTAGCAAACATTTGATGTTTAAGTTCCATGGTTTTGGCATCCAACAACTGACAGGCATTTTTTGTGTTGACAGGTGTAAATCAGATGTCCTGATGATTGGACAATCAATATTATTCCATAGCATTCACTTTGCAGATAAGCCCAGTTGTTCAGCTGCAGTTGTTGAAGCTTAGTGCTATATATTTAAGGGCTGTAAATGCTAGGTCTCACAGACAGGGTCCTCTATTCATTTTGCATTGATCTGTCTACTGTACTGCACTTTAAAATACAAGTAATATTAATAATAACCATTAGTTGATATCTGAGCAATTATGTATTTGAGAACTTGGATAGTGTGTCAATTCCTCAGATGTCACAAAATTATTCCAGAATGCCTCATAAATCAATGCTGTCCTATAATGTTCAGATTAAGAATACAAATAACTATTATGTTTAATTATCCCATGTATTTGGCAAATAAGTCTTAAAAATATAATAAAATCAAGCCTGTCTTGGTACACACACGTTTGCTTATTAAAAAGTAAATACAATTCTATAAAGTGTGCTAGCAGAAATGTTAGGAAATAAGTAGAAAAACCTATTTAAAAACGTCCCCTTTCTCCACATGTTAATACTTTTATTTGGCATGGATCAGCATAGAACACAATGACTCATTGACAAGAAAAAGCTGGAGGACTATACTAAATAGGTGTTTTTTCTAGATCTATGCTATTTAGGAAAAATTGTAGATAATTATTTTCAATTTAGAATGACCCAGTATTAAATGACTAAAATGGCAAGACAAATTGATATTAAAGAATAAAAAAAGAAACTTAAGTATTTTACATGGAAAAGTAACAAATGTACAGCAAAGTGGTTTTAAATATCCACTTATGCATGGATTTTATGAAGAAAATTACGAGCTCACAACCACTGGAAATATAGTTTTATCTAATCTTCTACAGATCTTCTTCCAGCTTAATGTGGTTTACACAGCATAGTAACGGAATGATTTAGAACAGAATAGGTCCAATCTTACATTCTATCTCAGTTAGCTGTTCTTAATAAACTGGTACGGAACCATGATTCAACAATTAACAATGTTGGAATCATCTATGATTCATAAATTTTCATACTGGCGCATGGGTCTTCCTTTTTTCTTTTCTTTCTTTCTTTCTTTCTTTCTTTCTTTCTTTCTTTCTTCTCCTTGATGTGAATTATTAAATTATATAGAAAAAAACAAAAATATTTTTATGGCAGATAGAAAAAAACTATTAATCTTTCAGAAAAATAGCAAAAAAGGCGCAATTTTTTTTCCTTGCAAAACCACACCTGTGTTCAAGGTCCTAAGATACCAAATACTTATCTTTTAAATTCCTTTATTCTTCCTATTGGAGATAAGAGTCACAGATCCTCCATAAAACATAAATAGTTCCTCAGACCCAAATATAGTAATTTTTCTCTATAGATTGATCCTCAACAAATGAGACATATGCACTCATAGAGCAGTATATAATCAACTGGCAAGAAGTTTTACATAACTCACCAGAGTTGGAGCCTTAGATCAGTGGTTCCCAACCCAGCCCTCAAGTACCCCCTACCAGTCCAGGGTTTAGGGATTACCTTGTTGCGTCTAAGGTGTCTTTTTTTTTCTAGATGGATTTAGGCTCATTTATAGCACCTCCAACACTCTTTTAGATGGTCTTTGATCTTTGCATAAGTGACGATATGAATATAACCTGGATACCAAGGATTGGAGTAGCACTTCTTCCCAGAATAGAAGCCGCAATAATCTGGTGTCAGGGGATCAGGGAATTCAAGCAATATAGCATTTTAAAGGAGAGTGTGAGGATAGGGAGCCAGGTAAAACAAAACCCTAAGGCTATTAAAAGTGCAGTATAATGCACCAGAAGAGTCCACAGTCCACCATATCTAGGCAAGGCGGGAGTGGGCCAGCTTTGGCCAGGCGGCCTGAGTGAGTCGCAGTCCAGCTCATCCAACTCCCAACCTGCGAGGGGGCCTCTGAGTGTTCAGAGGCAGTGTCCACCAGAGTGGGTGAGGGTGATGTGGGAGCTTCAGTGCGAAGCTTGTTGTTGGGTGCTTTGGTTCCCATCTGTTGTTGTTTAAGTCATCATGAGAGATCAAGTGGGGGGGTTACCCCTTGCTTTCTGGGCTCCGCTAGGGTTGTCGCTGATATCGGCACTGTCCCGGTCTCACAGTTCTCGGTTGGTGAGTAGTCCCATGCTTTCGTTTGAGCTGCATGCTCTTTTGTAAAAGCTTGTTCCCCCGGCTTTGGGAGTCATCAGTGGATGCTTGTGCCTCCATTTTGCTTGCCTGTTGTCTCAGCTGGTTTCGTTCTACCCGGCGGTTTGGTGCCTGGGATGTCTGTGCAGGCTTCCGTTTCAACCTGCTTGGGTGAGTGCGCGGTCGTGTTTCAGGCTCTTTCTCCGGAGGTGATGGGAACAGGAGGGCCTCAAGCTTCTCCCAGAGTACTTGAAAGGCTTTGTCCAGCCGGTGCTCCACCTCCATCGGTTCGCTGTGAGTACTCTAGGAGCCCTTTGCCTCTGCCATTTTGTTTGCAGTTCCACCTCTTGTTTTGGGCCCACTGTGTGTGTGCTGGGTTGTACTAGGATCTCCCTAGGGCAGACCGGGATATCCCCCACCGGTCTAGAGGGGGGGGGACGGGCATCTTGTCTCCGTTTTTCAGCCGTGAGGGTCAGCGGGGGAGCGGCAGTCTCCCTCACGCCGACCATGCTTATAAGCCTCGTAGGTCGAGCAGGTGGATTTCTCTGTAAGTGTCGCTTGTGAGGCATCATTATGTGCCCCTCTTTGTCACCTTTCTCCTGGTAGCCTTTTTGAGCTGATTAAGTCTTGTTTGAACGGCTGTTTTTCACTTTTTCCGTGCTGCAGAGCAGGAGCTGTATAGTTTAGCTTTCTCTCCTCTCAGCGGTCAGGCCCCGAGCCCTCCCCCCCTTTGCTTCATGGTTTTGAGTGATTTGTTTGTTTTTGTTTTGTTTTAAAAGTCACATCAAAAGAAGTTCACTAGAATCCGGGCCCAAGATGGGGGAGATCACGAACAAACCTGACAAAATAGAGCAAACATCCCTACAATATTACACCAATCTATATAATCACACCTCAACACCTACAAACGAAGCAATGGAGTGCATGACATGTATATCCTCCTTTCTAGAACCCCTCAAGCAACCCTCCCTTCCCACCAAGGCCAAAGACCAACTGGCGGTACCCATCAAAGTAGAAGAGATCGCATTGGTACTCAAGACACTGAAACCTATGAAAAGCCCCTGCCTGGACAGCCTTACGGCCCTCTACTATAAAATCTTCCAGACACTGCTCATCCCCCACCTCTGCAAGGCCGTTAACACCCTTCTACAAGGTCACCTACTGTCACCAGATATGCTTGAGGCAGACATATGCCTCCTCCCAAAACCAGGTAAGGAACACCTAGACCCAGGACACTACAGGCCAATCTCCCTCCTGAATACTGACCTGAAAATACTCACCAAGACACTAGCCAATCGCATCAACCCATACCTCCCTAAACTAATCCACCCAGACCAGGTGGGCTTTATCCCCAGACGTCAAGCGGCAGATAACACTAGAAGAGCATTCAACGCAATCTGGTACGCCCAACACCAGAGCCTCGGTAGTACTCTCAATAGACGCAGAGAAGGCATTTGGCCGCCTTCTCTGGCCCTACCTGTCCAAAGTACTCAGACACATTGGCTTTCCAACTCCTCCAGTTCCTCAACATACTAACCTCACCATTCAACCGTCCCACAGGACGACTACTATTCCCCAACATAGAAGCCCAAACATTCACAATTACCAATGGCCCGAGGCAGGGCTGCCCCCTCTCCTGGGTACTCTTTCCAATCTCACTGGAACTCCTACTGCCGGCCATCCGCAACCATCCCGACATCCAGGGCATTCAGATCAGACAAGAAACATATATGCATATGCGGCATATGCGGACGATGTCCTATTAACGTTAGCGAACCCCGACCAATCTCTGCACACCACACTCACTCTGATTGAAGAATATGCGACCCTATCGGGATACAAGATCAATCTGATGAAATCCGTCCTCATGCCGCTGGCGATGGAGCAAAGCCAACTCAACAGACTCCGCAACCGATTCCCTTTCCAAATAACAACAGCATCTATTACGTATTTGGGCATAACACTATCCCCCCTACTACAGGACCTCTACGACCTCATCTACAACCACTACTCACAAACGCCCTGATGGACCTACAAAGATGGGACAAGCTGGGAGTTTCCTGACTGGGCTGAGTCACCCCTATCAAAATGAACTTACTTCTGAGATTTCTATACCTCTTCCAGACCTTGCCAATCCCAATACTGAAAACCGACTTCAAGCACCTACATGCTGCCATCGACAAATTCATATGGAAATCCAAAAAGCCCAGAATACCCAGATTGACTATGTACAACTCCAGGGCGGGCTTGGATTACCCAGCTTCCCCCAATACTTTCATGTGGCTCAACTAGCTGACCTCCAACAGTGGCACGTGCCACTTGGGACTAAAAGATGGGTGGACCTTAAACATGATATACTAGGTTGGGATCTACCAACCTCCTACATGTTGGTGCCCCCAACACACAGACCGCTCCCGTCGCCCACCTCACCGGCAATCACCCAAATGTTGGCCCTGTGGGATAAGCTGAACCCCAAATACGAACTTGTCACTTGTCACACCAATCACGCCAATCAACCGCAACAAACTCTTCCCCCCATGACTTACAGCAAGACACTTTCGCCAATCAAGCGCAACAAACTCTTGCCCCCGTGACTAACAGCAAGACACTTTCGATAGAAGGGACATATCCAGACTACTTCACTTGTACCAACAAGGATAAGTGTTCTCCTACAACAACCTCCCTGAGGCAGAAGCCCTAACCGCCTCAGACTACTTCCAATACCTACAACTGAGAGACCTGGCACAACAACCTAGGATCAAACAAGCAGGGACTTCACCCTCAATGATGTTAGAGAAACAGTGCTTTGATGCACCCCTGCACCCAGGACAGATCTCCAACATCTACATCACCCTAACAGCGCACGCCTCCCAAGTCAACCTCACATACATAGCAGCATGGGCACACGACATTGGACCGCAGGACGAGCCAGGTGACTGGGCGGGCATATGGGAAGTGACAAACTCACTAACAATTTGTGTCACCCATAAGGATCAAACTTACAAAACCCTATTCCGTTGGTATCTGACGCTGTACCGACTCCACAAAATGGGAAAAAAACAACCAATGCTGGAAACTATGCGGTGAAACAGGCTACTACCTCCACTGTTGGTGGCACTTCCCCAAACTCAAACCCTTCTGGACGAAAGTACACCAACTTATCGAAACGATCATCGACAAACCTTTCACTGCACACCCCTGGACCATACTATTTACCAAACCTCTGGACTACTTCATGAGGAGTGAAAAGAAGCTCAATACTCGAATCACTTTAGCAGCAAGATGGGCGATCTCGGAGCTATAGTCCGATCAACGCACCCCGAAAATAATGACAATCATACTCAAAATAAAAGAGACAAGAGACTTGGATGAACTCGCAGCACAAATGCACAACACTTACAACTCATTCCACAAGACCTGGGAAATATGGGACGCTAACTACCCAGGAACAACATAGGCACTCCATGAAAGACGCATTCTACCACCTATCACCCTACTGAGAAGAAGAGACAGAAACTGAACCCCTAATGGAAAAATTACCTAAAGCGACAATGACCAACCCTACATTAAAGAAGAACAACAATCACAGAACAACTAGGAAAGAAAATGAAAAGGCACAGAACCTTACAACAGCCCAACAGCCGAGAGCAGCCCAACGCCCCTCCTCCACCCTCCACTCTCCCTTCCCCAACCCTCCTCCTCCCCCCCTGCTCCCTCCTCCCTCTTGCTCTCACCCTTTTAGCCACCACCTCAGGCTCTCTTGCTGACTCTCCACCTAAACCCTCCCTGGTCCGCCCCCCCCCCACCAGAGCCACCACTCCCCAGATCTCCACACCCTGGGGGCCCAGGCGCACGAGGGCGGAACAAGGAACCCAAATTTCCAACCCACCTTCTTAGTCCCTAGCGGAGGACGCATAAGATACACAATCCTGAAACTGGAAAAGTGAGGCAAAAGCCAAAATCTGAACACATAGCATACCCTAAGTGACAACAAACACCAACGAACTAGAAAACAGACCCCCAACGCGTGCAACCCATGCCGGAGTCAGGGTAGAAATGACAACACACATCTAAAGGGGAAATCTACCCCACACAGATGAAGAGGGTACCACCCCTACCCCACCGCACTCCCCAGACTCCCTGTAGCCAACATCTACCACAACATTAACACAAACATGCTCAGGGAATGCATGTTCCGGCACAACCATCCGGAAGCCATCGCCTACCGAACAGCTAATACCACCTGTCACACCATGTACTGATCGCTCGGATCCATGGGGGACAAGGCACTGGTGTAGCTGGGGGGTCTGCAACCAACAAGGCCTACAGCAGACAACATCGGAAGGATAAAGACTCCACCCCCCCACCTCCGACCGAACAAGGAGACCAAAAAGGAAACAGACGGAGGTTAACCTATACAGTGCAAACTACTATGCAATGAAGGTAATGTAAGATGTATGGCTTTCTTTTTCTGTATACAACATAATTGCACAAATGCGTAACCTATCCCTCCCCCTCCCTCTTCACTTCTGTATCCTCCCTTCCCTGACGGGAAAACTGAAAACTACATAAATAAAGAATGTATTAAAAAAAAAGTTCACTAGGATACCAGGTAAGTTTAAAAAAAGTGTATTTTTTTTTTGTATTACCTCTTCTCATTATTAAGGAATATGTACTGGGTAGGTATGGCCCTTTTTAGGGTAGGGTAAGGGGGCACGGGCTTGAAGACCCTATTCACCTACTTTTGACACAGAATGTTCCTCGAGTCATCATGACCACTTTAATGATTGGAAGTGGTCATGGTGCCTGGGGTTTGTATGTGCAGCATTTTGCTTTGCAATGCTGCATATAAACCCTTTAGCTGCAGGAGGTGTAACTCAACCTCATGCATTGTCATTAGGGTGTCATCAGCCAACTTAGAAATAGAATTCCGGGCTGTTAAATGTCAAATCTATGCAACTAACATTGGCTCTCTATCAGTTCTGTGCAAATTGTATTTGTCTCTCAGCCAATTAATGTTGACCACCGTAGCAGCCAGACTCATGTTACTGCACCACCAGGGAGCATTGGAGACCAGCAGAGACACAGTTAAGGGGGCAAACCATTGCTAAACCAATTGGGCTGTAGTAGTGATGATGCCAGGAGTTCTCCTTTAATCCTTTATTGATCTCCTCACCCTTCAACTGGATTCCAGTCTGTGACACGTGATATTAAATATCATGGATCTTTAAAGTGACTTCAAAGCATATGTGGCAGTAGCAAGGCTGTTAGTGTCTCATCCTTTTTCCAGCCAAATATTCCTTTAAAAATTAAAATCATTTTAATGCAGACTGTTAAGTAATGTCAGCAATACTGGAAGAATATTTACATTTTGTACTCAAACGTTGATAAACAGTTTTTTTCTTTTAAACTACAGATCTTTTGAAAGGTATGTGCATGTTCCATGTGTTGATTTGTCTAAGTGTTTTTCCATGGAAGTATCATAAGATATAAATATCGCTTTCCAGTTTAAGCTGTGTTAATTAATTTTTAAAATCAGTTTTCAAGGTATTTCTTGACCAACAGTCAAAGCCAAATTGTCTTCCTTTTTCGATCTTTATGAGTTTGGGTCAGCTTGAGTTTCAGTTAGGAAGAGGAACTGTGTGTGTAGAGGGTGCAGTATGTGGGACAGTGGCTGTGATCATTAAGGGATAAGGGGAGCAACTTTATATTTCATTATTATTTTTTAAAAGACACTGAGATACTGCAGGTATTGAGATCACCGTCCAATATATAACCTCAAAAAATCCTTATAATAATATCGCACTCAAAAAATGTTATGCAAAATATATTTTTATTAAATCAGAAAAAGTATTAATGAAAACTGTATATGCTATTACTTAGAAGGGAGCAGAAATAGGCATCACATATATATATATGCAAAACATGGTTCCATCAAATCTATCTGTGTTATAAGTTCCCAAATGGTATGGTAGATTACATGTCATACATGTGACATAATCACAATGTGTATCAACAACGTAAGTTCAACAAAAGAAAAAAAAGACAAATTTATGGCAATAACCACTATATAGTCTGTGGGATACACCTGATAGTTGTGTGTGTATGGCTATAATATGTCTATAGTCCCACAGCCAGATTAATGTGATAAGAAAAAAGCTACAAAAAAAAAAAGTAAAGTAAAAAATCCAGCACACAAAAATGTGAATAAATATAAAGTCCACTCAAAACAATTAAAAAAAGACAACATGAAAAAATAAAAAATAATGGTTGGATCTCACCATAAATGTTATTGTTTGTCTTGGCAAAGGTTTCTGTTGGATAATGTGGCAATGAATCCTACCGTGTCTTATTGCGTTATAGGTATTCCCCGAACTGTTAAGTGGGTATTCCTGTGTTACTTGTGTAGAGATTCGGAGGTATCCTCGGCTGGTAACCTGAGCTGCACGCTCGGGACATGGCTGTGTGCATTACATTATCTTTTGCATAACAATTTTTGAGGGCATCATTATTTTCATTTTAGCTCTGTGTAATGAAGTTAATAATTTTTATTTAATGAGGATGTTTATTCAATGATGTTTATTTAATTGTACTTCAACTTTATAGAACGTTAGTTCCCCCTCCCTGCCTCTTAACTCTGTCCAGGGAGAGGGACATGGAATGCACGGTGTAAAAGCTGCCCTACAAATCCTCTGGTGGTCCAGTGGTAATATGAGGACCCACCTCTGGCAGGTACAAGCTCTTATCACAAGTCCAGACATTGGGCAGTGTCAGTACGTTGTCAAGCCATGCCAATACTCTGACAGGCTGGGCTTTAGTGTGAGAGAGGACCCTGTAAAAGTGCATACAGACAGTCTGCTGGTTTCCCTCTCCAATCACTTTGATCTTGTTCCCAGTTGGCTAATGTTAAATCTGTGCATATTGGGAGACAGCACCTTTACCATGCTGATGACAGACAACCAGTAGTGGTATGGTCTCTCCCTCCACGCGGCCTTAGTCCTCCCCTCAGCCAGTGACATGAGTGATGTCACTGGAAGAGTATCGTATGCCTCTTGTGCGATCAAAGGTAAGTTTTTCCTTTTCTTTGTTTTTCCTTTTGAAAAAGGTGGGTGGGAGGGTAGGTTCTTGCTAGCAAAAATTACTTTAACCAAAAAACAGCATATTATTAAGACACTACATTTTGGTTGAAGTAATTCTTTAATAAGTTAATAAATTGAAAGACTAGTCTCTTTATCGTAAAAATAATCTAAAAGGAAACAATCTAAATTAAAATCTGTGTTGCACTATATACAATATTTAGCGTTCAGAAAAACATAGGTGGTGTTTCAGTGACATTATCTGTCATAATAAATGTTGAAACACTTTGCTGCTATTCTAATTATAGTTTCCAATTATTGATCAGGACATATGGTTACATTTTGAAACAATCACAGTTTGAGAACCATTGGGTTCAAGTTGCAATGGAGACTGCTGTTACGGGGTGGGTAGGTAGCAGTCAACAATTGCATCTAGCAAAAGTCTAAAGTAGACATTACTTACACAGCTGATGATATACTGAGAGAACCTTTAAGCAGTATAGAGTTGGCCTGCATGTCTCTGCTACCTGCAGATAATGTTTAAAATGGCCTGTGTGGAGGAAACAGGTTGATGCAACTTCTGCGAGTGATCCTATGTATATTATTACTATGAGGGAAGTAGCAGCATTTGATGTTGGACCCTATCTGAACGTTGTGCTCCTAACGGATGCAGAAACAGTTAGATCATGACTGGTAAATCCTAATGGTGCTTATATTGTGACATAGGATTCACAAGTGTCGAAAAGTTTTAATTGTGGTTATTTTGTACGAAAATGTCAGACTATCCACCCTTTTTTCCCCATTCAATTTAAGGTGTCAAATTATTGGTAACATTATATAGATACTTCTTTGGATAAAGGAAAGACTGAAATATTATATGAACATTGGCTTTTAAACTTGCATAATTGATGTGTGGGTAAAGCAACAGAAGGGATATAGATAAGTCTGTCTAAGTAAAGATGAAGCAGTTAATATATTGTTTTTCTCATTGTTTATACCTCGAGCAATGTTTACAGACTTTAACATACACCAGTCTATTGTCTATAACTATCCCCAAGTCTTTCTTATTAAATGGACACTAAGCACCAGAACCAACACAGCTTAATGTAGTGGTTGTGGTCCAAATAGACTGTCCCTGCAGTCTCTGCAATGCATTAGACCACTTTGCACTTATCTAAGTAGAATCCCATCTGCCACTGTCTGTCTATTTCCTAATGTACAGTTGCAAGAAAAAGTATGTGAACCCTTTGGAATGATATGGATTTGTGCACAAATTGGTCATAAAATGTGATCTGATCATCATCCAAGTCACAACAATAGACAATCACAGTCTGCTTAAACTAATAACACACAAAGAATGAAATGTTGCCATGTTTTTATTGAACACACCATGTAAACATTCAGAGTGCAGGTGGAAAAAGTATGTGAACCCTTGGATTTAATAACTGGTTGAACCTCATTTGGCAGCAATAATTTCAACCAAACGTTTCCTGTAGTTGCAGATCAGACGTACACCACTGTCAGGAGTAATTCGTGACCATTCTTGGGATGTCTGGTGTGAATCGCTTTCTTGAGGTCATGCCACAGCATCTCAATCGGGTTGAGGTCAGGACACTGACTGGACCACTTCAGAAGGCGTATTTTCTTCTGTTTAAGCCATTCTGTTGTTGATTTACTTCTATGCTTTGGGTCATTGTCCTGTTGCAAAACCCATCTTCTGTTGAGCTTCAGCTGGTAGACAGATGGCCTTAAGTTCTCCTGCAAAATGTCTTGATAAACTTGGGAATTGATTTTTCCTTCGATGATAGCAATTCGTCCAGTCCCTGATGCAGCAAAGCAGCTCCAAACCATGATGCCCCCACCACCATACTTCACAGTTGGGATGAGGTTTTGATGTTGGTGTGCTGTGCCTTTTTTTCGCCACACATAGTGTTGTGTGTTTCTTCCAAACAACTCAACTTTCATCTGTCCACAGAATATTTTGCCAGTACTGCTGTGGGACATCCAGGTGCTCTTGTGCAAACTGTAAACGTGCAGCAATGTTTTGTTTGGACAGCAATGGCTTCCTCTGTGGTATCCTCCCATGAAATCCATTCTTGTTTAGTGTTTTACGTATTGTAGATTCGCTAACAGGGATGTTAGCATTTGCCAATGACTTTTGTAAGTCTTTAGCTGACACTGTAGGATTCTTCTTCACCTCATTGAGCAGTCTGCGCTGTGCTCTTGCAGTCATCTTTACAGGACGGCCACTCCTAGGGAGAGTAGCAGCAGTGATGAACTTTCTCCATTTATAGACAATTTGTCTTACTGTGGACTGATGAACAGCAAGGCTTTTGGAGATACTTTTATAACCCTTTCCAGCTTTATGCAAGTCAACAATTCTTAATCGTAGGTCTTCTGAGAGCTCTTTTGTGCGAGGCATCATTCACATCAGGCAATGCTTCTTGTGAAAAGCAAACCCAGAACTGGCGTGTGTTTTTTATAGGGCAGGGCAGCTGTAACCAACACCTCCAATCTTATCTCATTGATTGGACTCCAGTTGGCTGACATCTCACTCCAATTAGCTCTTGCAGATGTCATTAGTCTAGGGGTTCACATACTTTTCCCACCTGCACTGTGAATGTTTACATGGTGCTTTCAATCAAAACATGGCAACATTTCATTCTTTGTGTGTTATTAGTTTAAGCAGACTGTGATTGTCTATTGTTGTGACTTAGATGATGATCAGATCACATTTTATGAACAATTTGTGCAGAAATCTATATCATTCCAAAGGGTTCACATACTTTTTCTTGCAACTGTATGCAAATCTTTCTGATGAGAAGTAATATCCTGTTTATAGTGCAATAGCTAGTTTTGTCATATGTAAACATTGACACATAGTTTTTAGTTGAAGTACTCTGTTTTCCACTCTTATAACACACACACAATATGTGGAGCAAGTATGGCATATACAAAAATTTAAGTAATACTTCTCTCTCTTCTTGCTTTATCACTGTAAAGATAAAATAGTGCAGATACCTTAATACATAATGTACTAATACAATGTAACTAAAACACACTCCCAAAGACAGAGCCATATACTGAACCTGGCTCTAGTGTGAATTTCCTTAGGATCTCTTTCGGGTGATCCAAACCCTCTTTGTTGGTGCTCTGGAACAGTGGAAATATTCCTTCTCAAAGATAGGCAGCTAAGATGAAGTAACTTGCCTAAAATTGGTTTTATTGTTACATACACTGGATAAAACACTTCATAAAATAAAAGTATAAAAGTCTACTATTGTCCAATTGTGTGCCAAAACGCATTTGGCCAAAGTGTGGCTTCCTCAGTTGGCATAAATGATGCTGTTCCATCTTTTCTTCTTTAAATACGTGCATTATTTTCAATTTCCGCTGTCTTTTTTGGTTCCACCATGCGACTTCCTGGTTCTCCGTATCGTGCTCCCTACTTCCTTATTCTCGTATAATTGTCCGGTCACGTGTATTTAGTCCGATCACATGATTTTTGAGATCGGCTTAAAAAAATAAATACATTTTAACTACTAATGAACAGAGGAAGGGGGGGATCAAGAATGTACCATATATATATTTGTATTCTAGCATCATAGATATATAATTGTTCACAGTACTACTTACAAGAGAGTTAATATATACTAATAATTTCATTCTATATTTCAAAACATCTAAAAAGAGAGATTAAATATCTGGAAAGAGATATCAGAATTCTTATATACATAAATTAGAAAAGTAATTATATATATATATATATATATATATATATGTATATATAGTAATATACAAAGTTGTGTGCAAAGAGATATGGAAACATAAATATGTAAAACTCAAAATATAAATTTCTTAAAAAGACAGAATGTCACCATAAGACAACTCTGTTTTGGAGAAAGAAGAACTACCAAAGATGTAAAGGGGAAAGGTAGATGGTAAATTATTAAAAAAAAAAAAATCTTAAATAATTAAAATTAGTTATTAAGAATGTTAAAAACTTTTATATTAAAAAATGGCAAAGCTCAAAATCCTGATTCAAACCATGTTTTCCACTCTTGCCCAACTTTAAAATTTCCCATTAACTATTCTGTACTCACTATATATATTAATCCAATAATGAATCAAAGAACAAACATTTTTCTTTTAGACCTGTAAAACTGTCGAATCTTGGCACTTTCAATTGTGAGCCTTGTAGCTATGACCATAAATATGGTTTTATATTGCCATCTAGTGGCAATTTTATAGAAGGAAAAAAGAACATGTATTTCCAAGCGGCACCGTGCCTCATTTTTAGTTAGGTCCAGAAAAACTTATTCCACAGGACTTTATATTTACAGTGGATATATAAACTGCTAGACACAGATCTACATACGGGAAAATAAGATATACCTAAACATACAAATAAAGAAAGATATACATACACCAGTCAAGCCATAAGACTTGCTTTTCCCAAATGAATCTCACATTTGCGGTGCTATTGCTACTGCAAGGGATTCTGGGTGGGCATATGCAAATGAGTTCAACAAAGAACCACCTTCTTGCCTCAATATTCCACTTTATATACGTATTCATTGGTTTATGTCTGCTGTATACAACAGCTTTGAAACACAACTCAGGAAGAGGTGTAAAGCCAGTGAAATACTCATGGAAAGTGATGTCGTTGTTAATGCAACTCATCAGCATGAGGCTTGTTACTGGCTTGCTATTCAAACTTGACGTTACCTGCGGAGCACAAACTGAAAAAGTTATGGCGGGGGAAAAAATTATTAAAAACCCCTTCCACCTGAAGTCAGTGGATAGTCAATACAATTTTTAACACAGATCTGCATACACCAGTCAAACCACAAGACTTGCTTCAATAGCAGGACTTAAAGGATCTTCTACTAATGGCTTGGTGTCAGATACCACAAGACATGTTCATCTAAATGTAGAACACATCCCCCCCCTACATATATCTACATCTATATATATATATATATATATATATATATATTTGTGCTAGGAATTTAATACGTAATGGATAGTATCTGAAAGGGCAAAGTTGGTTGTGGTGTGCCGAAACCAACGTACTGTAAATAAAAGAGGGCCCACCAAGGAGAATGTAATGATAACAGGGTGTAGGTGGGTGGGGACAATCAACTGAACCGGCAGAGATGAGTAGGGGCTGGGAGTTTAAGTAGGGGACTTACTCCTCCCACAAATTCAGGCCTAATGGCCTTTCTACATATATAAAAAAGTCCAGACTTTGGCACTCAACCCCAAAATGAAAAATCTAAAATATATTACCCTGGTGCCTCCAGGCCAATAGGTACACAAATTCAGACAGAGCACTCACTTGGATTTTCCAATAGTGTATTAAAAAGTATTCATCAATCTACATCAACGTTTCGACCCTTCAGGGTCTTTATCAAGATAATGACAGTGCATAAAACATATATATATATATATATATATATATATATACCAAATATTAAATATCAAAATTACCCCATCTGTGTGAAGTGATTCCCATGTAGGTGATAGCTGTCATATGTGGACTTCCAGGTAATTGGGGTACCATTGCAGATTTATTTATTCTTTTATGGTCTACATTGGTCTATTTGTTTACATATATGCTAGGGTTGTACTTACTCTATTTCACTGTCACTGATCACTGGGTTGGGCTACACATTTGCAGTGTTTTTATTTCTACCCATGGTTTGGTTTTATTTTTATTTTTTCACACACATTCATTCACATACATGTACATATTCACACACACATTCACATACATATTCATTTTCTCCACCACATTGCATCTTTTATCTTACTGCATGTATCTTACATTCACACAGTTCATTCACATTTTCTCTACACATCGTTATATAGTTGATACACTAGTATATCTCTGTACTGGATTATGTGACCATGCAGCCCTGGGATTATAACTCTCCACTGTATTATTGCTCTTTTGTTATGCTATATTGTACTTCTATTTTGTCTCCTCCATGAAGCACGATGAGCACTGGGATACGTTGGGTTACTATGGTCACTGTTTGTTTATACGCGGTCATGTCATCATGTCCCTGCGCACGTCATTACGCACGCACGTATGCATGTCATCACGCACGCGCCCACGTCACCACGCACACACTTCAGCGGTTTCCACTTGATGAGTAATGGGAATCACTTCACACAGATGGGGTAAGTTTGATATTTAATATTTGGTATATATATATATATATAATGCACTGTCATTATCTTGATAAAGACCCTGAAGGGTCGAAACGTTGATGTAGATTGAGGAATACTTTTTAATACACTATTTGAAAATCTAAGTGAGTGCTCCTGTCTGAATTTGTATATATGTATATCAAACAATTTAGATTTGTGAAACACCCCAATATTAAGATATAAAATATAGCTTTTATTGTAACACTTAAAATTATCCAAAACAAGTATGTACGATTCTATAATGAAAAAACGGTGGGGAGGGAAAGGAGCAGTCTGGGTTCCTTTCAAATAGTATAAAAGTCTGCACATATATAGGGTTAATAAGCTAATCAGATGTGCCAGTGATAATTGTATCTAAAGAAATAACCAAAAGTTTAGAACAGTGAAATATAAAGTAGCAATCTCCCACTGTATTTAATCAGATGAGTCTCTGTAACATAGTATTCGTTTGAGGGATGACAGGGAAGGAGCATATGTTGGCTGTTCCCTGCACTTGTCTGAAAAAAAAGAAAAGAAGAAACCTTTTTTCTTGCTTTTGGTTAATTTCTTTGGGGATTTGAGATGAGAATTTGTTAGTATTCTTCTCAAATTTTTTGCCCCTCTAGAAATTATCTTTGGTTTATTATGTACACTATTAGTCAGTGTTGTGTCTTTACTGAGAAGGTGTCAGTGCTTCTTAATGATTTTCTTTAGTTGTATATTTTCTTTGTTATAGTCAAGGATAATAGTTGGGAAGGTAGTGGTGTGCAGCAGAGTACCTTTTTTGTCTCATTCTTTTAGGAGATCTAATCTGTTTAATTGTTCTGCTCTTAATCTTGCATCTTTTAGTTTTGAGATCTGATACTACTTTTCCAAGAATTTTTCTTCAACGGCATCTGTTTGTTCTGCGTATACTGCAGTGTCTGTCCAGTTCCATCTTATCCTTCTAAATTCGTTGTAGGGAACATTTTTTAACCATGTTGGTAGATGATAACTG